TGTTTCCGTATAGCGATCCCGAAAAAGGGATCGCTATACGGAAACATCGCTATACGGTGCACTTGCTAAGCGAGGCACCACTGTAGTTACATTACATTCTGTTTTTTGTTTAACAAATAGGTATTTGCTCCATATTTTTGTTTTCTTGTGTGTATTGCTTATTTTTATTTTTGAATGAACATTGGTTATTTTGTCATGATAGAATAGATTCTAGAATATCTGCAGCATTTTCCATTGCCACGTCAGAATCCACTTTTCAGGATATATAAGGTTACAATACTGTATTTGTACAAGATGATGATTTTCTGTTAAACATTGCATAAGTTCTTCAGTGTTTGTTTTTACAAATCATGTACGCTTTTAAATGCTGCTTTCTCAGCATACTAACAGTTCAGTTCCAGATTTAAGCCCCTGAAGGCTTGAAATTCTTTGCAATGATGAATATAAGCAATGTAGCATAGCACATTGATTTTATGCAGATCATCACCTTTATGTTTTGGGAGGTCTGCTGTATTAGTGATATATAAAAACTGATTACTTTTTCCAACGTTGCCTAGTAATTGTTTATTATTTTCCTATTAGACAAACAAGAAAGATCAATATTCCTCAACACCAGCCTATGAGTAACATCACTGTAAATAGATTTGACCCAGACACCAGTGGTGTATTCATTTTAATGATTTGGACAATGTGAACCCAATGACACAGCTCAAGCAAAGCACTGAGTTTAGAGGGTAAATTTTTAAAAAGTTGCCCCTTTCCCCTCCTCAGTAATGGACTTTTTAAATAACATGATTTTTTTCAAATAATAGCTTCCATTTTGTAATTAAAATAAACATTTCATTTTAAAAAGATAAATAGATAAAAGGAGCTGAGAGTAGCTGTATGTCTTTTGGTAGTCAAATATTTTACAGGAGAATGAATGGGACATATGTTTGCCTAAGGGTGCGACTACATGAGGAAGCTGAATTGGACTGATTCACATCATCATGATTTGCAGTTTATTTTGTGATGGCATTTAGTTTAGGTGGTCACACAAAGACTCTGGGTTGTTCTAGTGCCATTATCCACACTGATCCCTCAGTCCAGTATGATTTGATGAGCACCCTCAGCCCTTTTTTGTTTGATATTGCCTTCTTGCAGTCCTGCCATAGGTCTTTTATGATCTTTTGTCAAGCTGCCAGGACTGTTTAAAGGGTGTGCACAGCAGTAGTGAAAAAGGGACCTTTTTTCAAAGTTCTCCATATACATGAAAATGTACTGTACACATATGATATAAGCATTGTGGTTTGTCAGTGTTGTTTTGATTTTATATTGATTTTTGTCTTTTAAACCTTTTCTCTCTGTCAGAGGTGATCTAGTGCTAAAGTAATGTAGTAGTGTAGTGATAAGGTGATCTAATGATGCACTAAATACTTTGTTTTTATAAAAACAAAACAAAAATACTTAGGGGCAACAAGAGGGAAATATTGGCATTTGTGTGTTTCTGCAGTCCCAAAACATCACATCCAACATATATCGCCAGAAAGCCACCCAAAGTCACACCCTTCTTTTGTAGAACAGAACAAATGATCACGTAGACAATACACTATTCAAATCATCATGGTTAGAAATAAAGTACATGCCCCCAGTAACAGAGGAGAAATGTTTGGATTGGAAGGAACAAAGGATGGGCCGATTTGCATTGACCTTTATATTGTGTGATCATTGAGAATTTCTTTGAATTCACTCATACCAATTCCAGAGCAAAGTGCAACATATTTTCTAATGTAGCCACATGATTACACTTCCTCAATGGGGCATACAGGGGGACAGAGATGATGGGAAGAATTGTTAGAAATCACACACTCCCAACACTACCCAGTGGTTGTTGTTGTTGTTTAGTCGTTAAGTCGTGTCTGACTTTTCGTGACGCTATGTACCAGAGCCCTCCTGCCTTCCACTGCCTCCCAGAGTTTGGTCAAATTCATGTCGGTAGCTTTGATGACACTGTGCAACCATCTCGTCCTCTGTCGTCCCCTTCTCCTCTTGCTCTCACACTTTCCCAACATCAGGGTCTTTTCCAGGGAGCTTTCTCTTCTCATGAGATGGCCAAAGTATTGGAGGGTCAGCT